AATAAGGAGTAATCCGAAATGACTGAATATATTCCACGGCTCAGAATGCTAATTTACAACTTATACAGTATAAACTACTTCTCAGATGTCATCTAACTGGGCAGAAATAATGTAAAAGGGGTTTCACCTCAGAGACTTTTCATTTTTAATCAGACCAGCCCAAGCGCTTCCGGTGAACTTTCTTTCCATTACAAAATCGGCACATTTAGGATCTGACTTCGTTCGAAATCAGCGATCTTCACTGCCTGATTGTGGAAGTGGGTCTGAGATCGGGCAGGAAGCACTCCATTAAACTCCATTGTTCTGCGCCACAACTTTAAAATCTGAACACTTATTGTACCACAGTGTTTTCAATATGGTTTCAGTGCTAACCTGTTGCTGCTGACGATGCTAGCGTTTACAGTCTTTCAATTTACGCTTAAACAGCTAAATGAATATGTCTATTTAACTCCTTTTTACTTACATTACAACATGATGTGGTAAAAGAAGCCTTATGAAATTAAAAATAGCCCCACAGACTTTTTACCAGAAGTTTATCATTGATTGAAAAACACTAGCTGTGCCAGCCTGATCCGCAGAACCACACACGTTCTAGGCACACACAATCTAGGACACACGATTTAGGCAAACCATATATGGGAACTAACTAACTCTTTAGCATTATCGCCACCTATTGAATTTCACAAGTATGTTTCCCATTTCAGTCATTATTATTATTATTATATCGTAACGATCATTTTAACATAACGGCAGTTTCTGAACTCAGATTATGTAAATAAAAATAATTGGTTAAATACACTTTTGACTTTATTCATGTGTCCACATAAACAAAGAAAACATAACAGACTGTCTAATTGTAGGATTAAGTGTAATAAACTAATTCAGGATCTTAGTCTTATCATACTTGGTTAAAATCACTTTGTTGTAAAATATAAAAAGCAAACAATAATGTTTATTAAAATGCACATTAAAATAAATTAGCCTACTATATTTAATCTTTAAAAAAATATATATATATATAGTTAAGTTAAATAAGTAACTTAACTATATATATAAATAAGTATAAATAAGTTTTTATATAAACTTCTATCTTTTACTAAACTGTCACAGCTGTTAGTTATATATATATATATATTTACTTATTATTTTTTTTATTAATTATTAATAGTTCATTTGTTCCTATTGCTAAATTTTGGTTTAAAAACAGCTTACTGTTTTTTATAAATTACTACAGTATTAAATGAGCTTGAGTAAAATATTAATATAGTGTTATACATTTGTTACATGTTAAAAGATTTGTACTACATATAATGTATTATTGCCTATATTAACTTGCTATTATTTCCTTCATCAAAAATGAATCCATTATATAAATCAAACCAAATCGTTCAGCAAGGCCAGCAAACGTGTATCTGCCATATTATTGTCAGATAATAATGAGTGATCATCCATGATGACTGATAGAAAACTGTTCAGTCTATTATATTGAATGGCGATCGGAAACAATGCTCCCCACTCACCCGCCTCGATCGCAATATTTGTGAAATAAAGTAAAGTAAACACTATTGTTTATTGTGTACAATATTTATTAACCATATATATCAAAATATATCGATGACGATGTTCAAAAAGACGTTAAAAAGATTAACATCCGTCGTAACCTTATATGGTTTGCCAGATTGTGTGTGCCTAAAACGTGTGTGGTTCTGCGGGCCTCCAGCTGGATATTATTGCTGATCTCACGAGAAAACGCAAGTATTTTACGTTTTGCCAGTTTAGTGGCTAATTTTAGTCGTAGGAAATTGTACGATTTTAAAAAGGAGGCGTGGCACCTAACCCCACCCCTAAACCCAACCGTCATTGGGGGATGAGCAAATCGTACTAAACTGTACGAACTAGATCGTACGAATTCATACGAATTAGCGACTAAATCAAAAAGTTACGAATTGCAGTGAGATAGTGTTGGCTGTGCATATCGCCCATTGTTTTATCAATGTGAGAGAGAAAGAGCTGAATCTGGACACGCTTCAGCTTCTAGTCATTTGGGATTACATCCAGACTGATACATTTTGCTTTTCTTTTGCCCCTCTTTTGTTGGACTAGATGAAGCGAGTGTGTTTAGTCTTCAGGGAGACGCTGTGACGGATCTGGAGCTCTGTGGGAGGCTTCGGTTCGGATCGGGGCCAGATCGGCTCATACCTTGAATTGTTCTCACTTAGCTTTTCCAATTGATGTAGGCCTAAAAGCTGAATTCATACTCACAAAATCATTCAGTGATAACTTGTGACGCTCTCTATATTGTTTAGCATGCTACTTTACAAAATCTGCTCTGAAATATGACTTGAAAACAACATCAGCACTATTTATTTGTCTGTCAACACTGTTGTACTTTGATAGTCGTTGGCTGCATATTATTTCATTGGTCACACTTTACAATAAGGTTCATTAGTTAATGTTAATTAATGCATTTACTAACATGAACAAACAATGAATAAGACATTTACTACAGTATTTGTTCATGTTAGTTAACGTTAATTAATGAAAATACAGTAGTTCATTGTTAGTTCATGTAAACTCATGGTGCATTAACTGATGGTAACAAGCATGGACTTGGATGTTAATAATGCATTAGTAAATGTTTAATTATGATTAATTAATGCTGTACAAGTGTTGTTCATGATTAGTTTATGTTAGTAAATGCATTAACTATTGAACCTTATTGTAAAGTGTTACCATTTCATTAGGATTTGCACAGGATACTTTTCTGAATTTATATTATTAAGGAGAAAGTCTGAATGCTCGAATATAAACATAAATTTACTTACATTTTTTTTTCAATATGTGATTCGGTGTCAGGGGGGTGAACGTGACATTTTGTCGGCCTTGACTTCTGATAAGTTTCCCTCACACTCGTCAGGTGAATGAGGTCTTTCTGAGGTTATTCGGGCTGTGAGAGAAACCAAAAGCTCTGGCAGAGTTTGATATTCAGTGCCTCTGAGAGCAAACCATAACATGCATCATTCTTTATGTATAAAAAATGCAAACAATACGGACATTTTTCAGCCCAGACTGGTCTGTAGAGTCGGTGCACTCAAAAATAAAAAAAATTTTCCTGCTTGTTTAAACTACGTAAAATGAGCTGAATTCATTTTGAATGAGTTTGCGCGAGAACTGAAGACCGTGGGGTGGCGGGGCGTCGCTGGGGCACTTCTGATCATTTTGGAAGGGCACTTTCTATCCAAGACTAAAAAGGGCATGTGCACTCCACAGGTTGAGCCCTATGTGTCCAGCCGCAACCCATCTCTGGGAAATGTGTTTTGTTTAATTCACTTAAAATTGTAATAAATTAATTTGATCGATTTGTGTTGGGACAGTTGTACAACACAACACAAATTGTGTGGAACTCAGAATGTTACAATGTAGATCAGGGGCGGCCAACCCTGTTCCTGGAGAGCCGCCTTCCGGCAGATTTCAGTCGCTACCCATATCAAACACACCTGAACCAATTAATTAGGACCTGAACACCACGTGATCATTACAGCAGGTGTGTTTGATATGGGTTTTATTAATATTACCCAAATGCTGTTAAACATTTCAACAGATTTTTAACATGACAGTTTTAATAACTAATTTCAGTTTTTTTTTTCTCTCAAAAATGAGGTTTGCCGTTTGTTCAAACTGCTAATTATAAATGAGCTGAAGCCACACAATTCTTGAGCTTTATCGGGGACAATTTAATTGTTTTAATGTTAAATTAACCTGAAATTGTAAAAACTAATAAACCAACTTAATTCCTTCTTGTTGTCTCAACACAAATCAATTGTGTGGAACTCAGCATTTTTACAGTGCAGTGCACAATATGTGACTAGTTTTCCTTTTGCAAGACACCATAGTATTCAGCTTAAAGTGCGATTTAAAGGCTTGACAATAGGTTCATGAGCTTAAATACGTTAATTAAGCAAGTCACTGAACAACACTAGTTTAGGGAGGTGGGTGAAATCTTAAGGGGGCTAATAATACTGAGCTTAAATGGCATTTTAAAAAACTTAATACTGCTTTTATTCCTGCTTTTTTATTATTATTTTATTTATTTATTTATTTATTTTTACTGAAGAAAGTTTTTTTTTTTTTTTGGTTGGCTGGAATAAAAGCAGTATTAAGTTTTTTTAAAATGACATTTAAGCTCAGTATTATACATATATATGAATTTTCGGTCACACTTTACAATAAGGTTCATTAGTTAATGTTAATTAATGCATTTACTAACATGAACAAACAATGAACAATACATCTACTACTGTATTTGTTCATGCTAGTTAACATTAGTTAATAAAAATACAGTAGTTCATTGTTAGTTCATGTTAACTCATGGTGCATTAACTAACGTTAACTAGCATGGTCTTGGATGTTAATAATGCATTAGTAAATGTTCAATTATGATTAATAAATGCTGTACATGCGTTGTTCATGATTAGTTCATGTTAGTAAATGCATTGACTAATGAACCTTTTTGTAAAGTGTTACCGAATTTTCTTTCTTTTTTTTTTTTTTTTACATATTTCCCAAATGATGTTTACCAGAGCAAGGACATTTTCACAGTATTTCCTATAATATATTTTCTTCGAGAGAAAGTCTTATTTGTTTTATTTCGGCAAGAACAAAAGCAGTTCTTAATTTTTTTTACAACACATTTTAAGGTCAAAATTATTAGCCCCTTTAAGCTATTTTTTTCTGATAGTCTCCAAATCAAACCATCATTACCCTAAATAACCTTTTAATGTCACTTTAAGCTGTATAGTCTTAAAAAATATATAGTCTAATATTATGTGCTGTCATCATGGCAAAGATAAAATTAATCAGTTATTAGAGATGAGTTATTAAAGCTATTATGATTAGAAATGTTGAAAAAATTAATAGAAATTGGGAGAAAAAAAATAAACAGGGACGCTAATAATTCTGACTTCAACTTTGAGAATTTACAAAATGTTTCACCAAACCCCTTATTAGCCTTTTTTTATTATTCTTTTTCATTCATTATTCTCACAGATTCGATACAATCTTCACATTTTGGACTTCAGGGTCAAAAGCTTTAAAAATAAGTTTAATTCAGAAGTTGAAGACATGTTGGAGAAATGCATTTATATTCTATTAAACTCAGAAATTCATTTCTAAAGTGTTACTAAAAACATCTTTTGACCAAAATAACTAAACAAAACAGCACGCCATTGTCACAAAAAAAAAAATAAAACAGCATAAAAATATATTTTTACAACACAAGATTTCCACACAATCACTTCTGATCTGCAGGCAGCACCGCATTTTACAGCACGGACGTTTATGTAGTTCATATGTCTGAGGGTTTAAAGGTAAAAATATAAACGTAATATATTTACAACATTAAAATGAGCAGAAAAGTTCAATCCAGACTAAAACAACTGCTCTTAACACTAGAACCGCCAAAGGGGCAATTTTACCCATCACTGTTACTCAAATGTACATAACAGACCTTCAATTGAACATTCAAGCCTCCCAGTCATTGACTCCTACTAAAATTGTCTTATTCACAATTCCCAGATATTAAAAACTGTTTAAATAGATTAAAAAGTGGGACATTTATACCTAGAAGCGCCAGCGTGGGTCAAATTTACCCACTATTAAAAACATATGTATTTATGCACTGCTTATGTCTAAAATTACTCACCAATGACTTTTACTTTCAATTTCACTGACTGAATAGTGGTTATAATAAATGAATAACGTCACAATGACTAAAAGAAGGTGATTTTTTAATAGCTATTTAAACCACAAAATGCAAAAAAAAAAAAAAATGATGGAGAGACTGGAGAAATAAGTTATGCATTAGAGGAGTGGTTGCAAAGTGGGGGTCGGGACCCCTCGGGGGTAACAGTATCTGGATGCAGCCTTTATGATGCAAGCTGAAACTGCATCACTCAGCGATGCAATGTCAGACTCAATGCATTCAATGGAATGAGTGACGTCGATATGACGGGTAGGGTTAGGCGAGCGCATTAAAAAGCATTGGATGCAGCCCAGATTGCACTGCACCGAGTCTCTACCCAGACCCCTCTCCTAAGGGGGGTCACAGAATCATAAGGTGGGGTCGCTTGGTTATTTCCAAAAATCTAATTCATTTTATTAAACGATTAGAATTACCATATTTATCCATAACCTGCCGGAGAACAAAATAGTAGTTATTATTAGCATGTTAATAATAAACATTTTAAAACCTGAAAAAAAAATCAATCAGCTTTTTGATTTTTTTTTGCAACCCCTGGGATAATTCTGTTTTGTGTCAGATACAGCAAATTGATTTTATGACACCAGGTTAAACGTTGACACCTTTAGAGCATTTGCCTACATTAAAAATAAATACAACAGAACAGAGGATGGTCTCCGAGTGGCGTTCTCAGATTAAACAATATAGACTTGGGCCTATTGGTATGTGTGCACCCGTGTGTGCAAGGCTTATAGATTTAGAACCACCTCAGAGGATATTGGGGGTTGCGAGTCACTGGCATTGTATTTTGGGGCTGAAAGGTTTGGGAACCCCTGCATTAGAGTATGATGGCTCAAATTTAGATATTTTAATCTACTCCTAAAATAATATTATCCTGAAATAATCATTTCATAAGCTTTTTGTAAACAGTGGTGAAAAACAATGAAATAGTATGTTTATTATTATTTTTTAGCAAATTTTAAACTAAATTTGTGCTGGGTTAGATTTACCCGCACTGGTGATTTTAGGTATACAGCGACCTCCGGCGGTTGTAGTGTTAATATTGGCAGAAGCATTACAAGATGTTACCAGTTCTTCACTTGCCATCTTTTAAACCTCATTGTAATTAGTTTAATACTAAAAACAGTAGAAATACTTTTAGAACAAGATCATTATTACTATTATCAATTATAAACAGGATCACATGAACAGTTTAGTTCCCAAAATCCTAAAAATGTCCAGAAGAGGCACTGAAGGCTTTTTCAGCTTGGTAGCACTGCTCAGTTAGAATGATTTGGCAAAAACCCATTAACTGTGTGTGTCAGAAACGGGTGAAGTCACTGCCCTCTAGTGGCGGGCAAATATAAACGTGCAAATCCTCCAGAAGAAAACTCCTTTATTAAATTCTGCAAATATAAATCACACATATAGACCTCAGCGACATTAATTTAGTTCATAAAGCTTTAGTCAGGACAGAAATCACTTGCTCTTCTTCTTCTTTTTAGCAGCAGGCGTTTCAGTGTCGTCGCCGGCCTCCAGCGCTCTCTTTCTGCTGGTTTTATCACTGATGTACCCGCTGGAGTCACTGGTAGGCACGATCTCCGCTGAATCCTGCTGTTTGTCTCTTTTCTTCTTCTTCTCTTTATGTCGTTCGTTTGCATTGCAGTCCTCCTCTGTTGTGTCCAGAGCGGTTTCCTGCAGGCTGTTGTTATTCATACACTCGTCCATTGACGACTCGGTATCATTCTTGTCTCTTTTCTTCTTCTTCTTCTTCTTCTCTTTATGATGTCCGTTTGCACTACAGTCCTCCTCTGTTGTGGTTTGCTGGTGTTCGGAGGTTTCCTGCAGGCTGCTGTTGTTCACACACTCCTCCATTGACGACTCTGTGTCGTTCTTGTCTTTTTTCCTCTTCTTCTTCTTCTTGGGTTTTGGACTGCCGGCCGTGTCTTCTGTGGCGTCTGCTTCTGTGCTTGATTCTGCAGTCACTTGTTTTTGTTCAAATTGGGCCACGAGCTCCTGCACTCTGAAAGCCGACGACAAATGATTATTAGTACAGGGTTTCTGCAGACATCATAATGTCAAATTTAAGACTTTTTAAGACCATCAAAGGGTCATGAAACACTAAAACACATGTTTTGAGCTGTTGACAGTGGTATATGTGTCCCACACAGCTATAAACACTATTAGGACACATATATCTCACTAAAAAGGAAAATTGGTTGTTTTTGCGTTATTTTAAATTCGTACTTCCGGTTTGAAACAAGTTTTTGAAGCTGCGTCACGGTCATGAGATCTGAGCATGTATTCCAGCTTGTAGACTGGACGTCTGTACCTGAGAGTGCCTTATAACATCTCTGAGTGTGCTGCATTAATGCATGAGGAAGGCTTGGTTCAAACCAATCAGCACGCTCTATTGTGCGACTTCATTAATATTCATTAATGCTACAGTGTTCAGACGGCAGAGAGACGCCGCGTTGTGTTGGCAAAACAAGCGTGCAGTGTTACTTTTTATAATTTGCTTCAGTTTTCATTTTCTCTTTATGAGAGCGCAGCTGGACTCACGTGTTTATTACAGTGCAAGCGACGCGCAACAACAATACGTGTCTAAGGAACATTGTTTACCCGAGAGCTTTTCTCATCTGGAAATGGTGAGATCCGGATTTGCTGCTCGTCTCCTCTTAATACAGACGCGGCTCTAGTTGCTGGTGATTGTCCTGTCTCTACAGATTTGGTAAGTGAGCGAGCAGTGCTCTTTGTTTATTCAGTTTGTTCGTATCGAACTAACTATTGCACCGAGTGTAAACATGTTAGCACCGCAACCAAACTATTCCCGTTGTGTAGGATTTTCATTTTATTTTGTGCCGTAATAACACACACGGCTTTATGATGCTACCTGCCGAGTGCATCCAAGTTACAGATAAATGCGGAGGGTTTTTTTCTCTCATTCGCCGTGCGGTATCAAACATTGCATGAAAAATACACGCTTACAGCAGTTCCTCGAATCCAATATCCAGTTTGTCGCGAGGGACATGAATGAAATTCCTGAATGAAAGAGCCAAACTGCAGTTAAAGTCCATCATTTAATAATTTGGCAAATAATTTGATTACTGATGTCCATGTAAACACAGTCACTGTCCTTCTCCCCTGTGTGTGTGTGTGTGTATTTGTGTGTGTTTGTTTCGACTCTGAAAATAAGCGGGTCCCAAATCAACACTCCCATATCAACCCTCTTTTGCTCCTCCGACACCCCCCTAAACAGAGCTGGACACGCCCACTTTCCTGACTTTTTCCAAAGTAGAGGTGTGAAAACAAGGGGGTTTCATGGCCCTTTAGCCACTTAAACTCTGCAGACCCGGTACCGGGTCCGTGACGTCATTGACATTCACTTTCAGATTTAAAGGGCTAGCATTGCACCAGACCCCCGTAAGTGGTGTCGTTTGAAAGTGTAGAATCTATATTTTATGCACATATGCATCACTTTGGTTTTTATTCTACTGTATAAAAGTTATATACACTTAAATACACAGTATTTTGGATACTCGAGCTGGGTATTGAACATTGGTTCATTTTCATATTTTTCATCTGACACACGTACAAGTTATAGCTCAAATGAAAGCTCTTGCCGGTGCTCATACGGTTCTAGCATTCTTTTTACTGAATTATATTCACATATCAAACAGTTGTCGAATGAATCGCGGTGTTTCCATGGCGCAGAAGTGAAAACAATACATTTATGATCAATAAGCAGCCCCAGATACCACAGACAGCTGTCATCTCTATGCTGTGCGCTTCAGGGCCATTCTCCTCTGTTTTTGAGGTGATGTGCATTAGTAATCCTTTTATATGTCTGACGTGCTCCAAACACAGTGAATTATGTTTGATCAAACAAAAGAATAGTGAAATATGAAAGCAATGATCGCTCCCTGTGGCTTGTACAGCACCTCTCATCAGTTGGAATACAATAACTTCTGCAGAGATTATGGTGGAGACATTTTTCTGTTTTCCTATGATTACAGACATGTGCAGGAACCACCAACATTAATTACAGCACGCTAGACCACACAGAACCTAAAAGGTACACTTTCAAATTTGAGTTTATAAAAAAAAAAAATACAAAAAGCGCCTCTTTTTTTAGGTGTTTATTATAACACAGACGACATATACAGATATTCTAAACACTTTCAGTAGTGTTTTGTAAAAATTCAAAGGATTTCCTTTAAAATGGTATACCAAGTTTTTGCATTTACACCTCTGCATGTGGATTTGGGAAGCTTTTAAATTTGGGGCGGCAAAATCCAGGCGGAAATCCCCAAATAGCAGCAGAGTTTAAGTGGTTAAGGCCTAAAATTTAGGTTTTGAAATGTGAAACTTTTAAATACCCGCAGACACTGGATAAACATGGAAAAAGGGCTAATAAATTTGACTACAAATGTATGTCAGAAAAGCAAAATATGGCAATGTCTGTTTTTCCATCAATATCAAGCACCTCTAGTGTTATGCATCTGCAGAGGATAGTTGTACAGTACCTGGATCTGTCGAGTCGTCCTCTGATGAGCAGAACTCCTGCAGCGTCTGCGTCCAGCTGAAAGACCTCGAACTCCAGACTCTGTCCCACACACAGCCCCGAGTCCCTCCACTGATCTGAGGTCAGCGCATTCGGCTTCACCACTGACGCGTTAAAACAACCGTGCACCAGACAGCCCACGTGACTCGCTCCCATCTTATTAATCACACCCTGTAAAAGGGCACAGACGCGACATTAAACACCTTCAGATCAGTAACAGGATCTCCAGATCTTCTCAGACATACAGCGGGGACAATAAGCATTGAACACATTGTCATGTTGTTTTTTCTTGGGGATAATATTTTTTAACAGAGCTGTTGGCATGGAATTGAACCAGATTTTGGTTAAAACTCAAACAATACAAACATAAAAATAAAACAAAACAAATAAAAAGCTAAACAATTTAGTTCAGTGTAATGACACAAGCACTGAACTACTGAAATGTGTTTAATACTTTATATAAGCGGCTTGTTTGGTGCTGCAGCTTAAAGACGTCTCTCATATGGAGAGTGAAGCCTCATGCATTGCTCAGGTGTGAGTTTCTCACAGACTTCAACAGGGTGTCAGAATCCTGATGCTTCTGTGGGTCTCGTCTATCAAATCTGAGCTTTATTCTGTATTCTCTATTGCATTCGGATCAGGTGATTGCCTGGGCCATTCTACAGCTTGCTCTTCTTTCTCTGAAAGCATCTAAGATTCTCCTTGGCTGTGTTTTGGGTCATTTATTTACCCAATAAATCCACCCTGGTTTCACCTTCATCCTCCTGCTGATGTAGATGTTGGACTGAAGCAGCTGATCTTCATTTACACTGAGGAACGGCAGAGCTGAAGAGCTACTAAGATATTTCAGCTGCTGTCTGAGCTTTTACAGCCTTTCAACACCTCCCTTTCTTCATGTGTTCAATACTTTTTTCCTTAGTCAATTCATTTTATTACACAAAACTATCTAATTAGATTTGTTTTCTTTGCACATATGGATTTCTTTGGTTGTTACCAGCATCTGGTGAAAATTTCAAGTCAGCAGCGCCTTTAGAAATATGTTTTCTGAGAAAAATGGAGACGTGTTAAATACTTATTTTCCCCGATGCACCACCAATTATAAATGCGAGCACAAAACCAGTCCCATGTTGCCAGAAAAATCCAAATAAGATTAAATTAGAGCTGCACAATATTTCGGTTCAGCATCAATATTGCGATATGTGCATCTGCAATAATAAACATTGCAGAATCTGCAAGAGGAATACTGAAAAAAAAAGAGCTTATTATAGATTGTAATAACTATTGTACGGAAAACACTCCAAAAACGGTTCTTTCACAATGGATGAAGAAGAGATGAGTCTGATGATCTTGGTTTTAAAAATTATAAAAGGCAAATTCGAGACTTTAAAAATTTGGTCCTCCTTCATATCATTTGTACACAGACAGATAAAATGGAATATTGAATTTAAATAATTTAATTAGTTTTTTTTATTCCCATTTTATTCTTTAAGTGTAGAAATCAATCAGGTGTATGCCGAAGCATGCTAATAGGACTTTTAATTTGCCAGTAACCTGGGTTAAGCGCTTCCGGTGAATTGAATGCCAATACATAATCCGGCGCGTTTAAGGTCTGTTTTCTTTAAAAAAATCAGCGATCTCCACTAGCTGAGTGATGTCCGATTTAAAGTGGGTCTCAGATTGTGCAGGAAGTACTGCATTAAATTACATTTCCCCCGTCATATCTTTATAATATGAGCATTTATTTTACCCCAGTATATTTAATGGAGCTTCTGCGTTAGCCTGCCGATTCCGACGGGCGCGTGCGAGTAAACGGCTTTTTGTCTCGTTTTACGCTTGTGCAACTAAATAAATGCTAAAGTTTATTTAACTGAATGTATTTTAATGACATTACAACATTGATGCTGTATAAGGAACCGTATAAAATGGAAAAAAGTTCATAATAACAGGTCACCGGAAGTGTATCAGCATAGGAACAGCACTAGCTCGGCATATACCCCATTTATTTTACAACTTATTTTAACTTTTGTTGTTGAGGTGATAAATGTTAAATACTTCAAATATTCTGTTTACTGGTTTTTGCAACAAAATGCAAAGAAGATAAAAAAAACATACCATCAGCCTTGATCCATTCTTTGGTCTGAAGATCACGAAAGACGCCTCGATGTTGAAGTGAATAAATCCCTGATCGTCATATATATTGCCATGCTGTCCCACGACTTTAATGTTGTCATACGCCACAGGAACACCATCCAGACTGCAAAACCAGAGAACAAATGGAGATTTCTTTACTCAGAATGATTATTATGGGTTTAGTTTAGCTTAAAAAGTGAATAATTTCACATTATTCATAATAATAGATGTTAACTGAAAGTTTATAGCAAAAAAACGGACAAATTCTCTCTCCGTTGACAGTCAATTCACCCCGATTTTAAAAGCCTAAATTAAAGCTGCACAGCCAGGCCCGGCTCAAGCTTTAGGGTGGGTCAAGTGACATTCCAGGTGGGCCAAAAACAAGTTTATACAGTTGAAGTCAGAATTATTAGCTCCCCTTGTTTATTTCTCCCATTTCCGTTTAACTGAGAGCAGATTTTATTTAACATATTTATAATCATAATAGTTTTAATAACTCATATCTAATAACTGATTTATTTGATCTTTGCCATGATGACAGTCAATAATATTAGACTAGATATTCTTCAAGACACTTCTATACAGCTTAAAGTGACATTTAAAGGCTTAACTAGGGTAATTAGATAACTAGGCAGAATCCTGAATCCCTTACATAAAGAGCACCGACACATTATTTAAGCTTCCCCTGTGAACACTTTTTGATTTTAGATTTTTATGCACAGCCTAATTAGTATTAAAATTAACTTTAATAAGATGCTTTCGTGCTTCTGACCATTTCATTGTGCGTCGTATTGTGCGTTTTCTTAACACCTTTGATGGGTTATTCCCACAAATTATGATGATATAGCAGTCAACGTAGATCAATTGAGAATATAGTGGCAAACATTTTGGAGCAATGGCAAATTCCGGACCTTTGTCAGTGGGGTGGGGGTGGGGGGTAGTTCTGTCGAACCACCCAAACGGCCCCTGGCTACGGGCCTGTCATAAGTCGTCAAAAATTAACTAATGTACCAATATAAACCCAAGTTTTACCTTAATGAAAAAAAGTATGAGAAAGAAGTATAAATAAATTATGACAGAGTTTAATTTTGGGGTGAACTGTCCCTTTAAATATGCTGTCCATGTATATACAAATCACTCTTATGACACCAGAACCGTGCATCAGCTCTTGGAGCCGCGCATGTAAACAAAGCGTTAACGTCATTAATAGAGATACTTTCTAGTAATGTGTTTATGCTGCACCTGTTAGAGTATTTCAGCAGCTCTGCGTTGAGTTGCTCCTGTATGCCGGTTTTCTTCTTCTTCAGGTGTACTGGCGGCAGGGAGATGTGTCTCCGGTGAGTGTCCAGAACCAGACATGAGTATCGGGCCTTCAGCAACTTCACAGCTTCCGCGAATGACGGAATGAGGCACGAAGTCACCGCGGGGCCGCCGGTGACACTCCCGCCGGAGACCTGCGACACTTCAGAAGGATTTGTGACGGGTGTCGGAGCTCCGTCCTCCTGAGTCCAGTTCGCCATGCTGTACACATGTGGAGGAGCACGTGGTGTGTTTGCTCGTGGGTTTGAACGCGGAGAGACGCGCGACTGCCAGCGGGGAGGAGGAGAACTACACACACTGCATAAATATAATAATAAATTTTTTTTAGTTGCTGTGACGCATTGCTTTCCCCACTCTATTATATCGTAATAAAGAGATCTAAATAAATAAAGCTAAAATTTGGCGTTGATCACATGCAACTTAATTTATTATAATTTTATAGGCAAACATATTGACATTTTTTATTTTTATTTGGAGGTTTATATTATGAAATTGTCTGTTATTGTTGTACAAATTCCATTATATACATTTTAGTCATGCTATTTATTTTTTAATCCTATTTAGTTATATTTTAAAATTATAATATGAAGCAATTAATAACTATTGTGGTTTTGAAATAGGTGAATAACAGGTATGCATGTATGTAGGTCGAATGAATGAAGGAATGCATAATAAGTTAAAAAAATAAGCTTGAATGATATGCAACTTGATGCAATATAATTTTAATGGCACAATACTGACATAATATTTATCATAAGTCAAACTATTTACAATGTAAAATTACAATGTAAAGTATTTAATAACTTATGTTTTGTTTTTTGTTTGTTTTTTATATTGTAAATATTATATATATATATATATATATATATATATATATATATTATATATATAAATAAATAACCAAATGTATGCTGTGTGAGGTGTTGATCAGTCATTTAGACACAAAATACATTTGACATCTTTATTTA